AAGAGAATAATGGCTGCTATATATGGGTCTCACAATGTATGTGTCTCTTCCATCATAATTCTAGTCTGGCCTTTCAAAACGCCAGAGTAAATTCTACCAAGATAATGGTGGTGATGATCTGGGCTTCACTATGAACTTAGAAATCTAAGATTTAAAACTGAGCTGAGGGGCTGGGAAGGTGGCTCAGTGGTAGAGTGCTTGCCTTGCATGCCGGAGGCCCTGGGTTCGATTCCTTAGCACCACATAAGCAAAAAGAAAAAAGCCGGAAGTAGCACCGTGGCTCAAGTGGTAGAATGCTAGCCTTGAGCTGAAGAGCTGAGGGACAGTACCCAGGTCCAGAGTTCAGACCCCACAACCGGACCCCCCCCCCCAAAAAAAAACTGAGCTGAGTCAAAAGTAAGAAGAGGCTGAGAGGCTATCAGGGCAAGGCAAGCTAACCACACTTTGGCTTGGATTATCTGTATTAAATGTTCCTGGAAAGCAAATCCACAAGAAGCTCTTGAGCATTTTCATGGATGCCAAAGAGATGTTAAGCAGGAGAAGAGAGGAGGAGAAGGGAAAACCTGCCATGGCCAGAAGGTTGCTTTTGAGAAGCCTTAAGCAACCTGGTAGAGCACAAAGAGTTTTGGTGGATTTCTTGCTTTCAGCAAATTATTCTTCCTGAAAGTTTAAGTAAAGGTGCAGATAGCAAGAAATGCCTCATTCCAAATCTAGGCCTCCAAGTCAGAAGCTTTGTGAATGTAACCAAGAGGGCTGGCTTTTGGAGAGGGCCCTGGGTACCATAGGAAGAGCAGAACTGTCTTGATCTCCACTCTCTACAAGAAGAGTCTATTCTGGCTCCTCTGCTTACTCTTGCTGGGAACCAATTAGATGAAAAGTTTGAGATCAGAAGAGTGATCACACACAGCCTCGGTTGTAAAGCACTGTGTCAAGCTGCTCTGTATTCTGAAGATCTGCTTCAATACTCCATGTCCCATCCTCCACCTGAAATCTAGGCCCTGAAATCTAGGCCTGCTTCCTGAAGCCTCTACTCCGGGAATCTAGTTATCTCCTCCCACTCCATTACTGTACCACATTGCTCACCGCCACTGGAACCATCACTAGGGGCAAGTACAGACCTATGGGGGAATGCAGTGGATGAATGTCACATCTCACAGCAAGCCCTGTGTCTTCCTACACACAGGATTTTGGATCATGGCTTCACCATGTTCACAATTAAGGCAAACAGAAAAACACTGTAAGTTAATGGGTCCTAGTGCTGGTCCCAGGAAAAGGTAGATCTAGGTAGGCATCCTTTCTTCACCCAAACATAAGGTTTCTCTCATAAATAAGTATCTTGACAGTACTGATGCTTCAGAGATGTCAGAAAATCCTTCTTTTTTTCCTTTAAATCAAGTCAGTTCATTAGTTCAGTCATTTGGAGCCTTTCCTATACACCAGGTGGTTGCTTCATCTGTAAAATGGAAATAGCAGCTAAGCCCATCTGGGAGGGTAGTAAACAGGGTCAAGCGAGATGACCATATTAAGGCACTTAATAAAAATCTTCCCCCTCAATCTTACAAATAGATACACTAGAGTCCTACTTGAAAGATGAGGACAGGAAAATAGACATTGAGTGGCTTCAGAATTTGAGCAGGGATACTCAGAGTGCTGAGTGTACGAGCTGAGATTATGACCAGATGTGGACTTGTTAGGAGTGTGTGACAGATATTAAACATTCAGTCAGTAGTTGCTGCTTATATGATCAACTAAATCACTTCTGGCTCTGTTCTGTGCATGCTGCACATTCTGTAAATATCAACAAGATTATTTATCTGACTGGAAAAATGAGTAATGGCCCGTCACTCTAAAGGTCTCCGACTCTTTAGTCTGTTCCCAGCGGTGGAATTGTCATTTTGCCATCAGCGCCTCAGAGCCAAACTGAAAGTGTAAATTCCTATCTTGGCAGTGATCCTATTCTCTCCAAGAGCCTGGCCCGGTAGAAACGCAATCATATTTATTCATAATGAAACGGCTTTATGACTTGTTTGCCCTCTAGATTCCCTTTGCTCTTAGGGGACCGCAGCAGACAGGCAGCTGGGCTTTGCTCTAGCTCCTGGGCTGGGATTGTAATTAACTGTCTCTGAAAAGAAGAGAGACAGAGGGAGCAAGAGAAGAAAGGATAAGGCCGTGTTCATATATGAGAAGCTTGAGTCAGAGTCTTGTCAGGGGAAGAGACAATGACACCTGCCTGCAGACCTAGTATCAGGTCCCAGAGAGACAAGCAGCCTTGGGGAAGCTTAAGGGTTACCCGTTTAAAAAAGGCTGGAATGTGTGGGAAATGGGCACAGTGGGGTCTGCAGGGCCCCTGCTCCTCTAAAAATCTCATGATTTTGTTTTCTGTCCAACAGCAGCGCATTAGGGTTTCCAGTCTCCACATGGACAATCTGACTCCTCTGCTTGTCATTTGTCATCCTGCCTCTACTAAAATTAGACGACTCGGGCTTCCTTCAAGCACATCATTGCCTCTGGGAAAGCTCAAACCAATGAGATGAAGTGGCAAGAACTGGAGGGAATCTTCCTCTGAGAGTATTTGTGAACCCCAGAGCTGGGAATAACCCTCCACCTACATCTGCCAGAACCCTAAGTCCTGCTCCTGCCCCTGCCCATTCTAGCAGCAGCTCCAAGGCAGGTGGACTCAGGAATGCCACCCTCCCCTAAGTCCCAGGTTATTCACATGCATGGCAGTACTTAGAGACACATGGTGGAAGAACAGATTCCGTCATCTGCATTACAGTTGAGACACTGTGACATTCAAACTGGTCTCCAAGGAGAGAGAAAAAATGCCTAAAACATCCGGCTCACAAAGTAATGCAGGTTTTTTTTTTTTAAAGAGATCATGTTACTTTTTGCTCCATGGAAAGTAAAGCACTTTCTTCATAAAATTTACAGTGGGGTTTATTTGTCCAAGGCCAAGGCTTAGCTGAAATGAGAAACAATAGACTTTGGACAGGTAGACACCATGTATTATTATTATTATTATTATTTTGGTTGGTGATCAGACTTGAGCTAGACATTTGATGTTTTGGCTCATTAGCAGGCACCCTACTACCTGAGCTATCCCTGACACTATGATTATTGCTGAATAGGGACAGGTAGATTTTTTTGGGGGGGACCACAAATTAATAGTTGTGTCAAGGAAAAAGAAGAGAACATGGAATAAGGATATTTGTTGGTGTGATGTACTGCTTGATGATCAAGAGGAACCCTTAGGCTGACATGATTTTCTCATTTTAGAGAAGAAAAATGTTTTATGTACCAGGCACCAGTGGTTAATGACAGTGATCCTAGCTATTCATAAGGATGAGATCTGAGGATTGCAGTTCAAAGCTGACTGGGAAGGAATGTCCATGAGACTCTTATCTCCAACTAACCACCAGAAATATGAAAGTAGAACTGTGACTCAAGTGGTAGAGCCTCTGTTGAGCAAAAAGCTAAGGGACAGTGTCCAGGCCCTGAGTTCAAGCCCTAGTACAGGCAAAAAGAAAAGTCTTACATTTTTTGGATATTTCAAAATACTTTTCTTCAGTGAGTTACTCAATGCTTACCCTGTCATGCTGAGATTTATGCAAGAATATCCCTTAAACAGATGAGATTTAGCAACGGAGTCAAATTTAGAGAACGTTACAAGGAATAGAAATAAATATTCACAATTATTGGAAAGTTTAGGATTGGCATGGCAGCTCTCTGAGCACTTATCAATATTCTTATTTATGCCGTGTAAGTACTTTGTGTGTTTATGTAATTATATTTCTTCACAGCCCCAAGGGATAGTAGCAGTATTTTAATGATGCTGAAAATAAACTATAACAAATAAGACACTTTCCAGTCATTTTTCCATTTATTCAACAAATGTACATTCATCTTTAACCTCTGGGCATTATTTAGGCTATGGAGATATGAAATAAGCTAAGTTCCAAGTTTCAAAGAGACAATACTGAATAGGAATGATAAACCCTAAGCAAATAAATGTATACATTTTTGTAATACAAATTGAGGAAAGAGTGTGAGGATAATTGGAGGAAGTGGTATGTTTTGGTGTGTTTTAGAGATGAAGGTTAGTTGAATGATGCTTAGGAGCAGCTACTGGAAGGAGGTGGAGAAAGGAGCAAATGTTGAGTTAGGGGAAAACAAGGACCACTCCATGAATGTAATTAGCATACTACTCTTGATCCAGCAAAAAGCCAGTGGCAGCATGATCAAGAAAAGATGTTATGTGATGAGCTCCAGTGGGGAATGGAGCCAGGCACCAGTGGCTCACACCTGTACTTAAAAGGTTGAGATCTGAGGATCATGGTTTGAAGCAAGCCTGGGCAGGAAAGTCTATGAGACTCTGACAAATCAGCAAAAAGCTGGACTGGAGATGTGGCTCAAGTGGTGGAATACCAGGCTTGAGCGGAAAAGCACCTAGATCAAGTTCAAGCTCCAATCAAGTTCAGTCCCCTTCCCCCCTAAAATAAGAAACAAATAAAAGAAGGAACAGGAAGTCGTATCATATAGGGGTGGTAGATTCCTTTGACTGAGAGGGAAGTAGGAAGTCAATGGATGTGAGGAGTGGAAAGAGAAGATGAAGTGTACTCTTGAGGAATTGCTCTGAACCTTACAGGGGATATTCTCCAAAGGCTAAGGTAGTCCTTTTTCAAGGTTGTACAACTATTTGGTGTTGTGGTCAGAGGTAATGGTAGGGAGGGGGTAGCATCTCAATGTTTGTATTAGGCATTCTTGCCCAGGCATCCCGAGAAGGCAGGGATCTGCCTAGCGTGCATCTTACTTTCTGTCCTAATCCTGCTCAGCCAACCCTTCCACACACTAGCTCTCTCCATGGGCACACAGGGGTTATTGCCTCTGGCAATTGGTGGTTGACTGGGATGGGGATGGGGCACAGAGCTGTGTTTGTTGTGCAGACACATGGCCAGTGCCTGCACCTACCAAGGCCATGGCTGCAAAGAACCCTCACTCACCTTGGACTTCTCCTGATGCAGCTCTATCTGGATGTCTGTGAGCTTGGTCCTGAGGTCTTCATTGGCAGCTTGAAGGGCGACAATGAGTGCCTCGGGCTTCTCGCCCTTATTTCGCCCTTTCTTGGACATTTTTTTCCCCTTTCTAAATGGAGTCTGTTGTTTTTAATCCGTTCAAACGGGTACTGCCATGGTACTGTTTCTTATCCTGAGGTGCGAGGTCTCAGCATCTACAGCGTGGTGCTGCTCCTTGGTAAGGCGTCTTCAACTGCTGCTCTGGAAGCCCTGGGAAGAGGAAGAGATATTGACTGTTTGGACAAGTCCTTTCTACCGTAGGGCCAATCAGATCCCCGAGCCCCAGTGGCTATAGGCACCTCCTCCTGGGGCTCTCCTGTTTCTAGAACCTCCTTATAATCTGCAGAGAACTTGCACTGATTTCACCAAAACCTAACCTAGTTATTCAATGCCCTGCCCCTAGCCTAGGACTTTCAAATCCTGCAGGCTCTGTTTGTCAGAATATACGTGGCCTTCTGTCCTTATCTCCTCCATGTCAATAACTGATGATTGACTGATGCTCTGGCCATTAAGAATGGGGTTGAAAAGGAAGTCACCTGTACGGTGACCTCCAAATGCCCAGACCACCTACTTTTACACAATCTAATATATGGAGACAGAGGACAATTTGATGGTTAAGTGGTGAGAATTGAGTAGTAACTGTAAATGGGTTCTTGGATTGAATCATTTAGTTAGAATTCTTTTCATATGCTTTTCTAGGGTTAGAATACTTTAAAAAAAAGGGAAAAGTGTTGTGAAGAGTCTTAAAAATACACTCTTCAGTAGAATGCACAAAGTTCTGATTTAATATATTTCATATAATAATAACAACAACAACAATAATAATAAATGTACAAGAGGGCTCAAAACAATAATTCTCTTGCCATTTTTTCAAAAGTAATCCATGGCTTGGGTCTTTCTCTTTGCTAATTTGTGCTGGTATTTCATCATGTTATCAGTATTTTCATCACATTTCTAACAGTTGAACAATTCCTCTCCTAAATAGATTTTAGCAGATAAATCACAGGTAAAAAATGTACAGTAGTACAGGTGGACCCATTGCAACAATGAGATGTACAAGATGTTATGTCGAAAAATGAACTTTACAACTTTGATGCAGGGAGGGGAGAAGGGGAGAGAGAGGGTGGGGGTAGAAGGTGGGGGGGGGAGATGGGAAGGGATGGGAAGGGGAAACAAAGGAGGAGGCAACAATGCTTGATAAGAAATGTACTCATTACCTTGCTCATGTAATTGTAACCCCTCTGT